GGCAGCTGGAGAGACCTGAAAAATTTAGAACCAAGTGAAAAAACGAGAAATGAAAGGAGGCCATAGAACACACCATTTCCCTGTGTTAAAAACTCACAAATGCATGGTACTTAGGAGCCCACTCTCTGGCTCGAGTCTGCACTCAGATGCCTACCAGATGAGTGATCTGAGGCAAGTTACCTTAGCTCTCTGTGCCTCAATTTCCCCACATATAAAGAGGAGATGATATGAGCATCAAAGGTCCTTAGACCAGTGCTTAACACATAGTACGTGCTCTAAACGTGATTATTCAATGAACAGCCGCACTGCAGACAGGAAGCTTACAGACAATAAGTCACCAACGATGCCCTGGGCCCCACGCCTGGGAAAATGCAGATGATCACCCCAGAGCCCTGCCCCACCCACACTCCTACTTGCCCAGCCCTCCTCGTTGGTTTACCCCCTCGCTTGCTCTCAAGTTGAAGGTTCCTGAAGACTGACCATGGGCTACACAATCTTCTAGGCATTTTGAGGAGCACGATTTGGCCTGAGCACCATGGGGACACGTTTGTCTCCTCCTCCCAGTATTCGTTCATTCATTCATACATTCACCAATCCACACGCCGCTTCCCTACCTCATTCATCTCCTTCTTCATTGGTTCCTTTGGTCATTTGCTTAAAATATGTCTCAAGTACTCTCTGCGTACCAGGTTCTGTGCTGGGGCTGGGGACACAGCAGAGATGGGAAGATGTGGTCTTGGTCTTGACCTTGGGCCTCACAGTCTATGCAGGAGACAGTCAAGAACTAAACGTACAAACAATGGCACAACTGGGGACTGAGGGCTTTGAAGGAAGCAAACGGGCCATTGAGCTACAGGCCACGCAGGTGGGCCTATCCAAGTAGAATGATTAGGGAAAGGGACATCCACGTGTAAACCTGGGGACACAGAACCCATCCTGGGAAGACCTGGGAAATGGAATATTCCATCTATACAGTGGAGCCTCCCCACACATTTGTGCACCCAGTTGTTCACCTGCCCGTCCATCATCCTGTATCTATTCATTTTCTTATTTATTCATTTATTTGTTCAACACGTAAGGCAGCTTGGTCTACTTGGGAAAAAAATGTTTGGAGCCACAGAGGTATGAGTTTTTATCTCACTCTGGCCATGCACTCACCAAATGCAGAGTGGGGGTAACAATGTCTAGTGGGAGATTGTTTGTGAGGATGAATTGAGATGAGGATCCCACAAGATAGTAGTGTCACCTGGAACATGACAGATGAGCTGCAAATGGCAGCTATTGTTCTGGTCCAACAGCCATTCACTTGGTGTCTGCCCAGCTCATGCAGGGATGAACATACCGCAACCCAATCATACTGGTCTGGCTGTGGCCCATTTTGGCTCCCCCTGTCACAAATGCTGGGACACACCAGTTATCTCCTTCGGGCTGACTGAGGATGCTGTATTTCTTCAAATGAAGAAAACTGAGGCACAAAGAGACCTTTGATCGCCCAAGGCACCCACTAAGTGGCTGCACTGGGGTAGCATCCCAAGCATTCTGCCTTCTAGTCCATTGTCCTGCCCGGGTCACTGGGTCGTCTCTCTGCAGGTTTTACTAGCACTGAAGAAAGGCAGCTGCCTGTGGGGCCTGCTGTGCCATCTGAGGTTTCACTAGCAGGAGGAAGTGGCCAGCATTTTGATCATGATTTGGGGTATCTGTTCCAAATCCTCCTGGCAATAGATTTCCTAAAAATGACAGTGGCGTTATTTGGGTTTCAGTGCTACAGGCTCCTATCACATAACATCGACAGGCTTTGGCAGGTCAAGCTGGCTTGATATGTCTGGTCCTGTCTCTGTGCCTTGTCTGAAATTAAGAAACTTTGGTTTTAGCCACTAATATGTGTGTACTACGATCACCTAGCATCTCTGAGTTTCTGTTCTGCCTCCAACATAGCATGCAGTAGCAGTGCTGTCTAACATGTGGTCATGATCTATTTCCTAGCATAGGGCCTGTTCATCAAAAGGTCATTGCATCTGGATTGGCACCTAGCACCTTGAGTGATTCCTTCAATGACACCTGTCAACAATGCTGGCCTCCTGGGATTTGTTTTTAAGAGCATCAAGTAAGTTAATGAAATAAGTACTGACATTTATTGTGTAGTCTCTATGTGCCCCCCACACACCCCAGCCTTTGCACTGTACATATACAACTTCAGTATATCCTCATATACCAATCAGTATGCATTTGGCTCCAAGGGACAAAAAATCTGACTATGGCTTATGAAATGTCACTGAATTACTTCATGTAATAGAAAGTCTGAAAGTGGTGGTTCCAGGTTTGTTTCAGTAACAACATAAATGCCCAGGGAAACAAATTGTTTTATTACTTCTGCTCTGCCATCCTGAGTATTTGGCTTTACATCCTCAGTCTTGTGCCTCATATACCCAAAACGGCTGCTGCAGCTCCAGCCATCACATCTGCACACAAGGAAAGAAGAGGATGAAGAGAGATGCTCTTTCTCTGCCTGAGGAAGCACATCCTTTCTAGGAGCTTCCAGCAGATTTTTCCTTATGTCTCATTGGTAGAATTGGATTAGAGGTCATCTCTGTTAATGAATGGAGAAATCACAGTCGCCTCTTGTGGGGTCATGTCTCTGGTGATCATAATTTGCTTTCATGGACCCAAGCCTGCTGCCACCTCCACACAGCTACACATGCTTCAGCATCCTCCTGTTACTAAGCTATAGGAAAAGGGAAGAGAAGGAGTGATTTTTATTTAAACAGAGTGGAGCATTCCTACTAAGGCCCGCAGATGGGCATTTGCTGAGGTGTTAGAGGAACTATGAGGGGCCATCGAGGCTGAGAATAGGGCATGAGAGGGAGCATGCGAAGAGACGTGTTAGGAGGGGAGC